GTCCTCCTCACACTGTCCTCCCCTCACACTGTCCTCCCCTCACACTGTGCTCCTCACACTGTCCTCCTCACACTGTCCTCCCCTCACCCTGTCCTCCCCTCACACTGTCCTCCTCACACTGCTCTTCCTCTTCCTGTCAGGAGCAGGCACCCTGTGATGATAGTGGCTCTGCTGGCTGTGCTCCTGGCCCCACCTGTGGTGCAGACTGCTAGGATCAAGAGGGCAGGTAAGTGCTGTGCTCAGAGCCTGTTCCACAGGGGATGTCTGTTTAGTGATTCTGGGACAGACCAGAGTCCAGGGCAGGCCCTTTGTGGGTGTACAGTAGCCCAGGAAGCCGTGGACAGCAGTCATAGAGGCTATAGCAGTGGGATTCCGAGTGAGCCTGACTCCCTCCCCGCTCCCCCTCCCCGCCCCCTGCCCTGCTCCTGGTAGTGGTCTTTACCCTCAAGACTCCTTCCTCTGAGAGGTTCTGGAAACTGAGACCAACTGGGTAGTAGACATGGGTGTTGGGCAGCGTGTGCCTCCAGGGTCTCCCCAAAGCAGGTGCAGCCCTGGTCCTGGCCCAGGACAGTCTACTCTCGAGCTCGGAGGGGGTCTGGGCATAAGACGGGGCAGGAAGCGTGGTGGGCAGGACACCCAGTGGTTGAAGAGGAAGAGCCAAAGGTGTGTGTGTGGGGCGGGGGGTTGGCTTAGAGTCTGACACAAGAGTGTCCAGCAGAGAATGTGGGTGTGAAAGTGCCTGTGGTTCATGTCCTGTGCCCAGATGCGGGGTCCCCTGGGGGTTTGGGGACTGGGAGACTGGGCATGCTTGTCTGCTGCACCTTGGATGACAGGTTAGGTCTGGCAGGAGTGAACGTCGTGACTTTTTCCTTCTTTCCAATCCCTCCCTTCAGATCCCATCACGTGTCATGTATGTGAGATGGAGAACTCCTTTAACTGCACAAAGCCAGAAACTTGTACCACAAAGGAACCATATTGTGTCATCGCTGCGGCAAGTAAGTGTTCATTTGCATTCAGTCCTTGTGGGCAGGGCAATCCAGGCTTTCAGAAATGGAGGCTGTGCATTAAAGGTGACTTCCATACACAGAAGACAGAGTCCCAGAGGTTGGAGTGTGACGGTGCAGCGTGGAAGATTTCAGTACTGGGCAGCATGGGCCAGGCGGTGAAGCAGGCCCCAGCAGCAGCTGGTCCTGGTGAAATAGTAAGATGTGGGAGAAAATAGGCAGGAATAGGCATTTCTTTGCATCCATTCTTGAATGAAAATGTGAGCTCTAATGGTGTCAGACGCCTGACAGAGAACAGCACCTAGAGCGATGGGCTTGACGTGGGTTTGTGAGGGGCAGGCCCCGCTGTACAGTTTGCAGACCAACTGCTCAGTCATCCATAATCCACCCAAGGGTTCAGGACACAAGGAGAGCTCCCTGAAGTGGATTCAGGAAACACACAGCGTTCTGCCCAGAGGTATTTTTCAGCACTTTTGAATTCAAATTCAGTTCTCTTCATACTACTCCCCCACCTCCACCCCTGACCCCCACCCCACATCCATCCCAGGTCTCTGTGTTGAAACAGTGGGCAGGGTTCTGTTCGGTTCATGTGAACTTTATTCGTTAATATAGAAAAATGGAGGTTCTAAGAGCCGCCCCCACCAAGATCCAAGTTGGGATGGCCTGAGATGCTTTTCCTAGATCTGCTTGGTCATTTGAGCCTACCCTTAAGAAGTGGAAGATCAGGGCTGCAGAGAAAGCTCAGCGGTTAGGAGACTGACTGCTCTTGCAGAGGACTTGGGTTCAATTCCCAGCACCCACCTGGCGGCTACAAACCGTCCTTAACTCCAGTTCCAGGGGAATCCAAAGCCTTCTTCTGACCTCCATGGCATTGCACAACACGGGTGCACTCACATACATGCAGGCAATACACTCGTACACATAAAAAAAATCAATAATAATAATAAAATATTAAAAAAAGAAGTGGAAGATCAGGGCTGGAGACATGGCTCAGCTGGAGAGGTTAAAAGCACTGGCTGCTCTTGCAGAGGACCCTGGTTCGATTCCCAGCACCCACATGGCAGCTAAGAACCGTCTGTAACTCCAGTTCCAGGGGATCCAACGCCCTCTTCTGATCTCCATGGGCATTGCATGACACGAGTGCACTCACACACATGCAGGCAATACACTCCTACATGTAAAATAAAATTAATAAATAAATAATATATTTAAAAGAGAGGCGGGTCAAAGACCCTGCGTTTCCAAAGCATGTGGAGGCCACACAGCCCACCCCAGTGCAGCCTGTTGAGTGCGGTGCTCTGACAAGATCCCTAAGGGATGCAGGGTCAATTGGCCGACAGAAAGGGCTTTGAACTCATGTGATTCTCTTCCCTTCTTCCCTACTAGGAGTATTTCAGCGGTTCTTCCTGGTTTCAAAGCAGTGCGCCAGTTCCTGTCCCACAGAGGCGTATTTACCGACTCTTGCACCTCAACCAGATGTCCCTCCCCCGCCTAAGGCCTTTGTGCTTGTGAGGCCCATGCCCTTCATGTACACAATGTGCTGTCAGTGGAACTTATGTAATGCAAGGTACCCAGGAATTGAAGCTATGCAGTTCAGGGAACAGCCTGGGCGTGCAAGTGAGAGGAGACACCATCACCTGGAGCTCCTTCTGCCCTGCCTTGCCATGCTCACTACTGCTGTCCTTAAGGACCTCAGCCTGCTGTGAGCTTAGGGGGCCTAGATCAGGCCTTGTGAGGGAAGCAGGGTTGGTTTCACTGTACCCCACCGGACCCTACTGATTAAAGTTGTTTTCCATTTGTTACCTCTTGGTTTGACTCCTGGGAACCTCAGAACTGACGGTGGCTTGGTCCTCCCCAGGAGCTCCTCCGCTGGCTTTGCGGCCAGTCCCAGTTCCCACAGCAGTGGTATGGGCCAGCGTCTCTGACCAGGCTTCACCTTCCCTTTTTGCTTGGGAGGGCCTCTGAATCGGTGGGGAGGGAGCCCATGTCTCACTCACAGAGGCAGTGTGCTCAGTGCTTCTAACCTTTCAAGGATCCCAGGATGGGGGATGAGATGACTCAGGGCGAACGCCTCAGGAGGGGAGACTCCTCTGCATGGCCTCACCCACCGCCTGGCGCTGGTGCATGAATTCATGAATTTTCCCACACAGCTGTGTCTAGTGTGGGCCAGGTAGACGGCAGCAGGGATCTCCCTCCCTGTGTTCAGTGAGATATAGCCATCCCCAAGAACTGAGCACCCCCACTCAGACTTCCCTGCGAAGCAAGGACTTCCTGTCGTGATTTAGGGTGGGATATGCTTCCTTCCTACCTCTCCTTTCTGGTCTCAGGAACCTGGAGTTGGGGGAGGGGGGCTGGGAAGTCTTCCAGAGAGACTGTACTGTTCCTGAGGTTTAGAAGACAAGGCCACCTCTGTCACAACCAGCACTGCAGACATGAGCCCAAAGTCAATTCTGGGGACAGGGATCAGGGAGGGTCCCTGAGGGATGGCCAGTGTCTTCAGGACTGGAGGGGAACTCCAGCGTCATTTGCCTGTCACAGGCCACGAGTTCATAGTCCTGCCCATGGCGCTTTCTCAGGAAGAACAGCCGAGCCATTCCCCATGCCTCTGGGTGGAGGTTGGGGTACTACTTTTGTTACTGGGGAGGTGAACACACAATGGAGTTGACATAGCAGACTGTCATTGGAGTCCATCCAAATGCAGGATACAATCTGCAGTGGAAAAGAATAGGTCAGTAAATAGGAACATGGACCAGTCTCAGTCTGGAACTGGTAGGCCTTTGTCAACATTAGGAAGGACACTCATTGACTTCATGATGGTTGTCATCGTACAACATTGTCACAGGTTGGGGAGCTACAATGAATTGAATATTCAGTCTGCACTGCACGTGTTGGGTAGTCTTTCTAGAAGGATCTCTGTGGAAGGCAGGAGATGCAGAGGTTAGTGCTTAGGAAAGATCAGGGTTTGAGATGGATGCTACATTATGAGGAGGCTTGTTGACAGCAAAGACGAATAAGTGCTGGACACAGCCCCACTGGTCCAGGGAAGGGCCCTCACGCAAGCCAGGGGACAGAGGGGCACAGATGAAGATGAGTCTCACGACAAATACCACAAGAAGGCCAGACACATCCTCCCAGAAAGATCCTGTGGGATGTTCAGGAGATGGCGTCTCTAAATTAGCAGGCTAGTGGGGGGAATGAATTCATATTTCTCTCTGTCTCTCCTCTTTTTGAGACAAGGTCTTACACTCTAGTTCAGGTTGGCCTGGCATTTGCTGTGTAGCCCAAGATGGCCTAAAACTTGAGGCCCTCCTGCCTCTGCATACCAAGTGCCGGAATGAGCAGAGGTGTGAGCCAGGACACCAGACAGACATTCTTTTCTGACAGTCTTGTCTCTCTGGTTATCTCAGAACAAGAGCTTAAACAAGGCTCGTCTTCTGAGTAGCCTGATAACCATCTAGGACCATCCTTAAGGGAGGCCACAGGGGAACCCAGCACTGCGGAGGACAGGCTGAGCTCCATCAGCGTCGAGCGTAGGCTTTGCCGGCGGCAGCCCAGGTACACCAGTGGACAAGCAGGTTGCTGATGTGTATCTGAGTGTGAGCCACTCCACGAGGTCACAGGGTAGTAGATAACTGCACCTGGTTTCAAAAGAGCAGTTGAATGGGCAGGTGTAGGTCCTCATAGCTAACACTGTCAACTTGACAGGATCAGAATCATCTAGAAGATGAACCTCTGGGCATGGCTGTGAGAAATTTTCTAAATTAGGAAGAGTCACCCTAAATATGAGCAGCCACCTTCCGGGGTAAGGGAAAGGCATGTGAGCACCACATTCATCCCGCTCTGCTTCCTGACTCTCGATGCCGTGTGACCGGCCACCTCACCGTCCTGCCGTCCGTGCCTTCTGCACTTGGTACACTGTACCTTCGAACTGGAAGCCAAGATAAGCCCTCCCTTCTGGAAGCTTTTACCAGGTATTTTGCTACAGTAATAAGAACAGTGGTCAACACAATGAGACAGTGGTGGTGTGTCTGTCTGGTACACAGTTCAGTTCCAGGCACCAGACCAGCTAAGCCAGCAAGGAGCCGTCGAGGGCTGGGCTGTGGAAACTTGATTGCGCAGGCGAAGAAGCCAAAGCCCGGTGGCAGATGATGGACACAAAAGACGGTGCCAACGCTGGAGGCTGGAGGCCGAAGGATCACAGGGCAGAGTGTCGGCAGCGGTGCCAGAGCCGAGTGGGTTGGACAAGGACAGCAGGCACGGCAAGCCGTGAGAACCCAGTGCGAACAAGCAAAGGGCTGGCACCGTCCAGCAAAGGACGTTAGAAACTCAGGGGCTGCGTCACTGGGAGGATGCCTGTGCTGTGACAGAAAACCCCCACGTCACAGCCACTCGAACAAGGTTCAAAGGTGTGTTCGCTAGTAGATGTCAAGTACGGAGGTGGGCAGCCCAGGGCTGAGCATCCCCAGTCAAGGGACCCCACGGCAGGCACCGCTGCCCTGAGGCACAGGCTGAGGGTGATTGGGAAGCACAGACACCACAAAGCACCATAGCTTGTGGCATTGTGAGTTCTCCAAATGGAAGAATGCCTGCCCATGCATGTCGGGTTCATGCGCTTGAGGTACAGAGACATCTCCTAAGGAGAACAATCCTGCAGGCCGCTGGCCGCCCCTCTACTAGCTTCCCTGCCGCTGGTCTCAGAACCACATAGCAGCACACAGGAGGGATCCAGAGCCTGATCTGTGAGAACAGCAACTGAGCCACCCCAGGGCACAGGTGGAATAGTCCATAAACCAGTGGACAGGCTCTCGAAGCCTCTGTACCGTTGAACAGGCATGTATTTCGGCCTGAAACTCTGTTCCCTAACAGGAGTATTAAGAAAGCTTTTACTAGGCCAGGTGTATTGGTCAGGGTTCTCCAAAGAAACAGAACCAGTAGAATGAATATATATGTATAGAGATTTATCAGCTTAGCTCACAGGATAGAGTCCGAGTAATCCAACAATGGCTGCACCACACTGGAGAGGCTGAGAATCCGTAGTCGCTCAGTCCACGAGGCTGGATGTCTCAGTAGTCCCAATCTGGCGCTGAAGGGCTGACAAATTCCCAAAGATCAGCTAGTCTTCAGTCTACAGCAGCAAGACGAACTCACCAGGGAGAGAGAAGGCAAGCAGCAAGAAGCCTGGCGTTCTCCTCTGCCGTGGTCTTTTATACCGACTGCCATCAGAGGGTAACGCCCACATTTACTGTGCATCTTCAGCTTCAGATGATCCCATCAAGAAGATCTCTGTCATTTCAGTTAATCCCAGATCCAGTCAAGGTGACACCCGGGATTAGCCATCACACGGTGTGGTGGTACTTGCCTTTAGTCCCCAGCACTGGGGAGGCAGAGGCAGAGCAGATTGCTGTGAGACTTCCTACAAGCAAAACGGTACTAAAACAGAAAATAGTGATCATTACCATTATTAGAAAGTAAAACAATAGCTAATCCAATCCCAGTGTAAGGCCTTACGACCTCGAACAGTTTAACATACGATGGTATGTTTTAGGGATGAATACCAATCACCACAGCAAGGGAGGAAAGCACAGTCATTAGCTCTTGATTACAACTTTTCTTTTTTTAAATATATTTTATTTATTTACTTTTAATTAATTATAAATCCAGGGTTCCCCTGGAACTGGAGTTACAGATGATTGTTAGTCTCCATGTGGGTGCTGGGAACTGAACTCAGGTCCTCTGCAAGGGGAGCCAGTGCTCTTAACCACTGAGCCATCTCTCCAGACCCCTTGCTCAGGACTTTTCATGTGAGATAACTAAAAGGAAATTTCAATAAAGTGGTAAATGTTACCTACAAGAAACCTAGAACAAATACCAGAATTGATGATGAAATGTTAGAAATGATCCACGTAAATTGAAAAACCATAACAAATGTATATGACCTTTGCCACAGAACACTGTTACAGGGCAGGAAAAACTCAGAAACTAGAGTGAGATGTGTAGAGATGTTTTTCTGATTCCAGCAAGAGGACTCACTAGATACCTCTTGGGTTACTATACCAAAATGCCTTGGGCTGCATAGTTTATAAATAATGGGAATGTATTGCTTTGCAGCTCTAGGTCTGGCAAGTCTAAGGTTAGGGTACCAACATATTTGGTGCCCGATTAAGGGTTGTTCCTCTTGGATGGCACCCTCTCTGTGTCTGAGCACAGTGGAGGGGCCAACAGGACCAAGCATTAATCTTGTCCATGAGAGAGGAACCTTTGAGACATACCCACCTCCCCAAAACCACCACCACCAGCACCACCATGGGGTCAGGTTTCCACATGAATTCTGCAGAGCCTTAGACTGACAGACCTGAGCAGCCCTGAGAAACTGCCTGTTGCAAAACGCCGAGGATGCCGAATGAAAAACGCTGCGAGTTCTTTGTGACCATGTGCCGACTACTTCTGAGCATGTCAGAGGCGTAAAATCAAATCAAATCCTAAGGCCTGGTGAACTAGGAACTGGGCAGTGCCTGGTCACGCCCTGAGGCCGGCAGCCTTCG